TCTCTCTCTCTCTGCGTGTCTGTGGGGGTCCCTCTGTCTCTCTCTCTGCGTGTCTGTGGGTGTCCCTCTGTCAGTCTCTCTCTCTCTGCGTGTCTGTGGGGGTCCCTCTGTCAGTCTCTCTCTCGCTGGCCCGCGGCCTGATCGCGCCCCCCCCCCCTCTGCCCGCAGTGCTGGAAGTCCTGCAGTTCGGGCGGGACGCCTCGGTGGCCGAGTCGTGGCTGGCCGGCCAGGAGCCCATCGTGCGGGCGGCCGAGCTGGGCTGCAACGTGGACGAGGTGGAGAGCCTGATCAAGAGGCACGAGGCCTTCGAGAAGCTCGCGGCCGGCTGGGAGGAGCGCTTCACGCTGCTGGAGAGACTCACCACGGTGCGTTAAAGCGCTCCGCCGCAGCTCCGCATCCGGGTCTCGCTGTTCTGCCGGTCGTGGCGGAGTTTTGTTTCCATTCATCGCCAGACCCACCTAGACGAACGCTTCTGCTGTTTAACCAGGTTGACTAGCAGCCTTCCTATTGGTTAATTGGTCCGCAGACGCCCTGCTCTCCTATTGGCTGAATCGCTTGACGTGGCCCCCAGAGTAACAGCTCTACAGGACAAGATCTGCATCCCCATTGGTTAACGCATGTGTCTCCCCCCCCCCCACTCCTTTATACAGAGAAGGTGTTTCATTTGCAGTTGGTGAACAGTCTCCTTCGTTGCACATTTTCACGTGTCTATAGTCTCGTCCGCTTCGCTCTCGTGACCCCCCCGCCTCTCTGTTCCCCTCAGCTGGAGGAGCAGGAGAGGAAGAGGAGGCAGGAGGAAGAGGAGCGGCTGCGGCGGCCCCCCACGCCCCCCCCCGCCGAGCCCGAGGTGGCGCAGCCCGAGGCCGAGGACAAGAGCCAGGCTTCACAGGAGTCCGCCGCTGGGTAAAACCACCTTCGTGATTACCGGGGGGGGGGACAACAATAAGAACCTAACAGGGGTAGATTGCAAAGAGCAGGTGGAGGGGCTTCTGGGAAGAAAAAAAACCACCTGCAGGAAGGAACGTCGGCCTCCAGAAGCGGGCTGGGGGTCCCCCCAGTTTGAGCCCCGGCTGCCACGCTGGTCTCTGCAACGACAGCTTTCCCCACAGTCGGTCCGTTAGCGCCGCTGTCGGGACCCTGCGCTGGAGAGAGAACGGATTTCCGGATGGCTGGGTTTTGCTCGCCCGGTTCAAGAAGGCCGGAATCTATCCAGAATCCCCCCC